AGTGGAGAGGGGAATTAAGACAATTTAATAAAGGCTTAAACTGCTGGGGTTGTCTGTACAGCGCCTACAGCCATATTTCCTCTGATCAGCGGAGGAGGGCGACTTTATTGGACATGTTTCTATTTCCAAATCCGCATAACAGGCAACGAAGCATGTATTTCCTATAATGTAGATAAGGGAAAGAGGGTTTGATATGTAATAAAAGGTGGGTCTGTGCTGCCTGTTTAAGCCCCTTAAGCCTGATAAATGATGAGCGACAGAGGCACAGCAAGAGGGTCACCGCTATTAACTCCTCGGTTTCCCGGCCTCCACTTAAACTTCTCTCAATTACATCTGGTAATGTGGCTGGATAAGGGCCTTATAGGCTTCGACCTGTTCAATCTTACTGCGAAAAAAAGGAAGAAATCTTACGTAAATCTCCACAAGCGCCTTTGCGGATGTAGGTGTAGGCTGTCCCTAAAGCCACGTGTTAGGGGGGAAACACAGGGATTATCGTCTGTGGCGTTACTAACATGCACACCAGGTATTCTGGGACAAACACCCAATGCAAGCTCATTAAATCAGCATTTGGTGTTTCCGCACAGGCGTTAACGACGGCCTCTAATCTCGGCGGTGACCTGCTCAGACTGTGTCAGGCTCTGAGCTGCACACACAGAGAGGTGGCTGACAGCAGACATTTAGTTTGTACAAAGCTTCCAGCTTCCAAATACATTTAAGAAAAAATAAATCGCAATGTAGTTGTTAATGTTAAATATGTTGTATCCTCAATATTGTTACTAGGCTATAATTATGAATTCATAAACGCGCTGTTTTCCAGATCAAAATGTTAATAATCTTAACATTTTTTATTTTATTTCAATTGTTGAGGCTTCGCTCGATTTTTTAATTCTCAATGTTTTATTTCTATATTACAACATGAAACACCGTGTTTAATATCAGATGAAAAGAGTCGTCCAGCTTGTATCGATTTTAAAATAATCGTTTAGCACCAACATCAGTGTGTTTTATCAGTATGTGTATTAAATAATTATATATCCATTGATATGAAAACCGAATTTTAAATTAATTTAAAAAATCTCATAAATTCACAAATTAAAAATAATTCTTGCACACGCAATTAAAGACAAACTAGGACTAATAAGGGCCCCATTTTTTCTGGGTTGTTTGACACAGTAACCATTATTTAACAGCTTCACATGTGAAGGGTGTAAACAGCTAAACCGAATTTATGTTCGAAGCTTTGCCAGCAAATAAATTAAGAATTACGGAAACGACTCCCTGGGACGCTCGATGTGAACACAAACAACATCTGCATTTTATAACAGGCCTATTCATAATTTCGATTTACGTTTCTGTGTTAATGATTTGACTGAAATCACTTTCATTTGAATCATCACTCACGATTTTGTTAATATTTGTGGATGGATTTTGTTGAAATTTAGTCGATATTTTTGTTTTGTTTCATTTTATGGGCCTTCTCTTATTCGTTTCAAAGCTTTCGGCAGCTCGGCATTATCTGTGGCCGCCAGGTGTCGCTAGAGGGCCGCATAATGTCTATCTGGTCTCAGAAGGGAAAAGCCACAGTTACATTTGGTGTTGGTCTTCCCTCTCCCCTCTCTCTCTCTCTCTCTCTCTCTCTCTCTCTCTCTCTCTCATCTACTCTACTCTACATCTCTATCTCTCTCTCTCTCTCTCTCTCTCTCTCTCTCTCTCTCTCTCTCTCTCTCTCTCTCTCTCTCTCTCTCTCTCTCTCTCTCTCTCTCTCTCCCCACCCTCCCTTTACTAACCCTTTGACACTAGACTCTGAGAATCGGTGGAGGGGAAAATGAGCCTTTGGAGCTGAAGAATTTACAGTTAGTCGCGAAACTTTTACAAGTATTTGAGTTGCTCACTGCACTTTCTGAAACCCTATAGTCACATTTCACTCAGGGGGTCAAAAAAAGTTCAGATTCAGATGACTGAGGTAATGCTTTCTGTAAGAGGAAAACACCGAGGATCGGAGTTATTATAAACAAGTCATAAATAAAATAATCTAAAAGCATGTCCGCAAAAGAGGAACATCTAATGCAGTCTGTAGAGATGATTAAAATAATCTACCCCGTTGATTTCTTTGGAAAAACGCCGAGCTCCATTACTTTTATTCAGCACAGAAAGTACACTTTTAAATGAAATGATGCATCAGTAGCTGCATTTCTTTAATTTTAAAACTGCTGCATACAAAAAGAAAGAAATAGGCAGGCTGCAAGGTTGTTACTTTCCAAGCCTCTCCAGCAGTCAGTCTATGATCCAGTCTTATCCCAGCGCCTTTGCACATTATAGCTTTGCTTATTTGCATAATCTCAAATACTGAAGAGGGCCAAAGAAGAACAAAGTTACAAACAAGATTAGGGCGATTTTATTTGTTCCTGCGGTTGAGCGCCAATTGTTTCTCCAGGAGTGTTTAAGGCCACTAAGAGGATTTGAGGCTCGTTTCATATCAGTGGTCTTTTTGAGGGAATTAATCAACAATGCTTTTCTCTCCATATTTAGCAACAGGCTTGTGTGTGTGTGAACAACCGAGCCCTGCAGGGCAGAGAGGGGGAGAGGGATTGTAAATCCTGCTAAGAGTAAACAGAGGAGTGGAAGATCAGTGCTGCTGTTGGGGCGCATGCAGGCGGTCCTCGTGCACCTTTAGGATGTGACATGCAGTGGATCTTTAGCCTGGTGATTGTCCCAGTAGTGTTTTCCTTGAAATGGATCTTGTCCCCCCCCTAATGAATCCAAACGCAGCTGGCCATGTCCCACACGGACACCGAGAGCTTTAACCCTAAACTGACCTCAATTTGACACCACCAGATGAAATTGTACCGCCTGTTAATGCCGTCCACTGATTTTATTTCATATGCGTAAGAGTAGTGGTGCACCTGAAAAATTCTCGCATCGTTGTAAGAAATCTAAAACTCTTTAAAACATGTAATTGTCTACGATGGGTGTCCTCCTGGAATTATCTGGTTTGTAAAACGCGTCCAGGTTATAAACAGGGGAGTTTAAGTTGGCACAGGTTTTGTTTATGAGGAAAATTAATTTTTATTACCTATCGAGTGAATGATGATTAAAATAAAATTATAAAATTAAACACCGACTTGTGTGATGTCGCATTAAAAGCGAAATTAACCCGTTTCGCCACCTAAATGTTGTTAATGATGATGTCTTGTGTTTATAGCTTCCATTAATTACTCAAATAAATAGTTCACAAAAGAAAGAGTTTAAAATGTCCACGTCGTTAGGAGTCGTTGCTGGAAGTTTTATAGGGAAGGATGTGTTTCTGTGGAGCCGTACATTGGACACGCATAATTAGCCTCTGCTATTTTCACACGCTCTTCGGGTGTTTACATCACTCTCCTCGGGGGCAAATCACATATTTCCACAATAAATGCGGAAAGAATGCGGTTAAGATCTGGAAATATGTATATTTAAAAAATCATTCAAGCGCTCGAGTTTTAAGGATTGTTCGCGTTAACGGCATATTAAACATAAACTACATATGAGAATATATTCCATTGTTTTATAGTCCAGCCTGAAAACTGTCCCTTTACTGCGCCGTGAAAGGACGCGCGTTCACAACAAAGCGTTATACAGTATAAGGTTTGTGCTACTTACCGTCGTTGTCCAAAGGAGAATGATGAAAAAAAGTCAATCTTTAGTGCACAAATCAATGTGGACGATAGTAGCCTATTTAGCTTATGAAAATATCAGTCTTCAATAGCAGAGTCTGCCGGGCTGGTTGTGTTTACAGAGTGTAAGAGAGACTTGGAGACGGTGAATGCCTTGGCTCTGCGCACCGCTCTGCAGCTCCTTCCCGGGGTATTGCACGTTGAAATGTCCACACAGCCGTTTGTCAAACCCAGCAGTCCTACTTCCCACCCCCCTTTATGCCAACAAACATAACTGTTGTCACGGTTTCATTTATTGAATCGTTTTCCTTAAAAAAAAAAAAGCCCTTGCTATTTCTGTGATCGACCTCAAGCAACTCTGTTTGGGATTTTGTTTGTTGGGAGAGTTTATTGACCCTCCAACAGTAGCCACAGCCCCTCTCCCTGAGCGTGTGTCTACTTTAATCCTAACCTGTGAATAATTAATTTCCTACATCAAAAATGTCACGGAGCTATAAACGGAGCCTTTATGTGAGCACCTATCAATACAGCCATGATGCCATATTAGCATTGATGGAGCTAAATATTAAAAGGAATAGATGGCCTGCTTCTGTGTTGTGCGTAAAAGTGCTCAGGCTCCAAAAAGGGCTTCACTGCAATCGATGGCCGCTCCGGCTCCTCCTCTAAACTTCAATCTCCTCACATGATTGATGATCTTGGGGAGCTTTGATAATTGACTACTCTGAGGTAAGGCACGGATTTCTATCAAGAGAGGGGATTGGACGAAAGAAACATACAAAATTACTTTCTCCTGAAAAGCTTTTTTTTTCCTCTTGGAAAAGTTCATTCTGTGCTTAGAGGGGTGCTGTGTGTCCTTTAATTTGCTGAAAAAAAGCAGAGCAATAATTAGCAGTAAGATTAGCACGTATTACTGATATATTAGGCACACCAGCTTAAACCACAAAACAGATAACACGTAAGCGTCATGCTCATATATTAAACTCAGCATATCCTGCAGATGCTTTATAATATTTACTTAGTTTAACTTCTATCACTGACTGTAAGAATGAATAAAAGTCCCAATGTGCATGTTTTTTTATCTATAAATGTTACGTTTCTTCTTTCCCAAAGTGTGCATGCTTCGTGCGTAAAACTGATTTAAAACAAATATATTATTTTATCATATGATTCCTGTGATTAAAACCAGTCAGTGTTGTGTGTGATTGAACTCAGAGGAGCTGCAGCTCGAAGTGTCCCTGTTGTTAAACCTTACTCATTCTGTCTTCTCTTCTTTTTCTTTAGGACTCTTCACGGCAAAAATAAATTGGGTGGGAGTTGGAGCTGTTGGTTTGGCTTTTACCCCCAGTGTGGTGTTGAATCCGTCCCTGTGCCTCGCATATACTCTGCATATCACAAGATTTGGTCTCTCCTCTCTCTTTTCTGGAGCTGCTGTAGGACTGGCTATGGCCACCGCTACTTCCGGGATCCGTCATTTCATTCGCCCACCGCTCAGCGCTGCGAACTGACTCCGTTTCTATAAGCAAGCTAGCAGCCAACCTGCCAACACTCGCTGACACTCACTCATCTCAGTCTCGCCAGATAGACGAAATACCTACGGGGGAAAGAAAGGAGAGATCTGAATCGCTATCTCTTAATTCCTACTGCTTTTTCCCTTTTTTACAGTGATAATAAAACAAGATAGCGATCTGGAAGCATTAAAGGAGACGCGGACTTGCGGGATGAAAACGGACTAAAAAGATTCGTCCTTCTCTTGAACATCATCACCAACCGTCATTCATTCATTACCTTGACAACCTCTGGCTTTGATTGACAGCTGGAGTGGCAAAAAGCCATGAGACACGACAGTTTAGTTACATGCAGGTTGTTGATGGGCCGATTGTAACCTTCACTTTGGCGCATTTTTTCTTTTTTTTCCGAGGAAAGAGGGAAAACAAGAAAAATTGCAAAACTCCCTGATGCTACGATTTCAACTGAACCACACTGGCGAATAGGAGAAGTCGCAAAGTTGGTTGAAAAAAAGGAATCTTGCCTCTAAATCACTTTTAAACGGGACTGGGATATTAAATATACCACAGATTCAGGAGTTTATTGGAGCGCAGCCTGATGGCGCAAAGGGTAGGTTTTAAATCTCCTACACTTACCTGTTCAAATCCACTAGGGAGGCACTCGTATCGATAACTTCTTGTCGGGTGGTGGCAAATTCACAAAGTATTCATATCAAAGTCGCTATATTTGACATTTCAGCAGCGCTCCTACTCTTCAGTCAAAGTGACAGCCTGTGCTCTTACCGACAGCCTCCACAGCAGTCGTGGATCAGTTTCACAGGAGACTCCATACTAATTCGCTCTTTTCACACACCAAACTCTTTTTCGGGAAGTTATCATGTTTTTGGTAATGACAAACAGTGTATCAGATTGAATATTAGACACTTTTACTGCCCTCGCTGTATCGCGTGTTAGTTTCTCCTTTGCGTATATTCAAAAAGACACGGCATGCTTTTTGTACTTTTCACATTTGTTTAAAAAGTAACCGAGCAGACCGCTGACTTTTGCTCTGATTTTGTTCCCAGTACGATGAGCTGGCCCACTACGGTGGGATGGACGGAGTCTCGGCGTCGATGTACGGGGACCCGCATGCTCCCCGGCCGCTTCCCCAGGTCCACCACCTGAACCACGGACCGCCGCTGCACGCCAGCCAGCACTACGGAGCCCACGCGCCTCATCCAAACGTTATGCCCAGCAGCATGGGCTCTGCTGTCAACGACGTTTTAAAGAGGGATAAAGATCAAATTTATGGGTAAGGTTTGCATGAACCAAATAAGCGTAAACTTATTTTTTCCTAAGTTTCAAGCTTTTCTGTGAGATGTTTTAGTTGGAGTTTTCTCTCTCGTCACTAAATTCACATAGTGTTTTGTCCGGGGTTGACCGCAGTTTGGAACTCTATTGTTGGTCAGGGCTGTTGTTGATGTGTAATTTTATACGCATTGTAGAAGGCATCGTCAAGCCTGCAGTAAGTAAGAGTAAGCCTCGAGCTGGAAATGCAAGCTATAAAATAATAGGGAAGCTCTCTGTGCTCAGTCCAAGTGCCAAAGTCACTGACTGCATTGGAAAAATAATAAAATGTATTTTCAACACTTCCATGTTATAAAGTTAGCGTTTAATATTGCCCTCTATACTTTTTCAATCCTTAAAATAGTCTGGAATATTTTTTATGTTCTCGTTGCTGCCTGAAAAACTTCTGAAATGTTTTCAAATAATGTAACACAGACACACACAGCGCGTTAAAACGCACCTCGTGTCTTTATATGTATACGTAAATGACATTATTCTCAACAATTAAAGAATAATAGACGCTTTTACTTCTAATTGTAAAAAACCCCAAAACTAATTAACACACGTGCACAGAAGGTGCTATAATCCACAGTGTATCATTATAATCTGAGATGTAGTAGAGTAAATCCTCTTCATCTCGTTTACCCACATTTTATATTTTATACTGACATACATCTAAATGACATTATATAAAAGGAAGCCAGTTTTAGAAAATTAACGTTTGTTCCACTAAAAGTATCTTATTCTAAAATGATATGTTATCTTTTAAATATTATCTTGATCACTGTTGGTCTCATAATGCTGCTGGAGTGGTATCAGTCGTATTTTTATTGAACTCTGCTCCACTTTTAAAGCCATAGTTCTCGGTGCCTCATTGCTTCTATAGTGTTACTCTTAAAACATATTATTTAATTTAAACTTTTTTACTGACCGTATAATTTATCTGTAACAAACAGTAACTGTTGTATAGTGTGTCATTCCTGTTTTTGTTGAGTTTTGTTGATTTATAAACGTTTTGTAGTTTGCACTGCAAAAAATGTCAGTCTCAACAAGTCGATAAATATAATATTAAGTGTAAAATATTTAAATTCCCAATACGATGAGTAAACATATTTCAGATTGGTGTGTATTGTATGCTTGCAAGTCAGAACCGCTTCTAAAATTAAGATTGAATCCGGAGTGCATTGTTTAATCAGTTGTCATTATTATTTTAAAATGTGGTCAGAAGTATGTTAAAACTACACAGCGGGGTACAAGTAGAATTCCTCTCGTACTGTTATGTTTGATTTATAAAAGTATAAATAAAAGACAGATAAGCAGGTTGATGGGAATTTTTTTGCAGTGGGCATTGTGGAGCCGGTGTGCTGCTTGTTCTCAGGCTGTGTTTCCCCTCTTGCAGTCACCCTTTATTCCCACTGCTCGCTCTGGTTTTTGAGAAGTGCGAGTTGGCGACGTGTACTCCGAGGGAGCCCGGCGTAGCAGGCGGCGATGTCTGCTCCTCAGACTCCTTCAATGAGGACATTGCAGTCTTTGCCAAACAGGTCAATTTCAAAAAAATAAATATTTGGGATGTTGTGGCTGCGTCATGGCACATAGTTCTCTGCCTGCTTCATGTGTGTGTTTCTGCAATAACACTTTCTCTTGATATGATTAATTAATAGTGTGTGTTCGCTGCAGAATGTAACACAAACTCATTCGTGAGAATTGTTGTATTATCAGGTTACATTTCAGAATAGAAATAGACACACATGCCGCACATTTAAAGCCAAACTAACTTTGACATTTGGTGTATTATTTTAGGTCCGAGCAGAAAAACCTTTATTTTCATCAAATCCAGAGTTGGACAATTTGGTAAGAGCACCCTTTGACCTCTCTTGTCTCCAAATGTAATTGCCGCCTCGCTGCGGTTATACTGCCTTGTTCTGTGATAGGCCTACTGTGGAGTGTCCGCAGCATCACACAGTAAATATGTGAACATATGATTAAAACTTCCGCACTGATGTCGGATCAGTTTTGGAGTGAAGCAGTGTTACCACATTTGCCGCTGTCACTGCTCAGTCCATCTGCTGACCAGCGTGTGATGGTCAGCTACATTGTGAAAGCTTCCTGTATACTTAAAAATAATAATTTGCTGCTGCTGGCTGTAGTGCACTCCATAGTGTTATGACGGGGGGATCATTACATAATACTGAAAACAATTATAAATTCCTGTTAATTTATGTGATGTGAACTGTATTTATTTTTTGCCATTTTCCAGATGATACAAGCCATACAAGTATTACGGTTTCACCTCTTGGAATTAGAAAAGGTAAATATTTTATCTGAGCTTAATGCCAAATGCACAAACACCTTGTATTTTAATGCAACTGATATTGTTAATTGTGGTTCAATATTCATTGCAATGCTGAAACATTTACAAATAAACCGGCATGCATTAGGAGAAAGTTTCAGTTATCTAATTTTCATAAAATATGCTATTTTATTTAGCCAACTATTTATGTGATTATTGATTAAATATACTGAAGCCTCTTTGCACACGTTGCACATTGTTATCGATCTACAGATTTAGTTTCAGCTGCTCATTATTCCTGCAGCTTAGACGGCATGCTGTTTATTTTTTGTCGTTCAACTTGTTGCTCCAGTCTCAGGAGAATAATAACCACTGCAACAATTTCACTATTGTTTCCTTGACGCCGATAATGCCCCCATAATTGGAGTTATTCTTGGACTGACTCAAGCGTTTCCCTATTCTGACAAAAGGTGCTTTCTTTCTTTTTCTAGGTGCACGAGCTCTGCGACAATTTTTGCCACCGGTACATCAGTTGTTTGAAAGGAAAAATGCCAATAGATCTAGTTATTGACGAACGGGATGGCAGCTCAAAATCAGATCACGAAGAGCTCTCGGGGTCGTCGACTAACCTCGCAGATCACGTGAGTAACAGCTTTTTATTCATAACAAGTGCTGTGCTGGTTTTGTCTGCATGTGTCTCTGCTGCTGACAGAGAACACCCGAGCATGTTTATGTCTTTTTTTAAACACAATGCCAATGAGTAATCGGTTGTTTTTAGATAATCAGATGTGTTTGATGTGTCTCCAAACGCCAACTTTTTGGCTACTTAGCCTGTGCTCAGTGTGTGACCCTGCTGTGCCATCAGTAAATAGAGCATGCTCTGTTCTGCAAGGAAAATCTGCCGATCGATGTTCTGAGGTCAAAAGCTAGATGTGATACAATAGACTGAGTTATTGTTTTAGTCTTTTGATTAGGGGCAGTCATATGTGCATAATGCGTCCGTGCTTGCTTGTGTTCCCGGGGTCTAAGAGGGTGTGTGTGTTTGTGCGCGTGCATTAGAGGGTGTGCGTGTGCAAATCGCTGCCGTGTATTATGGAGAGTTGTTGAGAAAAAAAACGCAAGGCAATTATCTGTTACGCAGGTTTAACGTTAAAGCAGGGTATCAGTGCTAAGCTTTAGCTTTAGGCCAATATTTAAAAAGAAAAGGGCTTTATATTTGGGGCTGTGGGAGCTGGATATGGCCTGTGCGTAAAGCTGTGGATTTTTGCTGCAGAGGTGGAGAAAGTGGTAGCCTATTGAAATAGATTTCAGAGCTAAAGGCTTACCATCAATGTCAAGTTCACAAGACATCTGATGGTTCGTCTGGAGGCCTTCCATTGCTGTTGATGTTAATGTGTTTAATTGTTTCGTATTGATTGCCGTGCGGTTTGCTCTGCAGTGGCTCTCTCCTCTGCTGCCCATTTTATGGCTGGAGGCTCCATAATGCTGAATTCAATTATATGCACCTGAAGTACAGTAGCTTTACATTTGAGGATCGATTCTCTGGTTTAAATCGTGCATTTTCGGTGTAATAAACACTGGCTCCTCCCGCATTATGGATTCAGCTGACAGTGTATTATTGAGTTGATTTCTGTGACTTATTGCGTCTTGCATGCCTGTGGTAAAGCTAATGTTTGGTTGAAAAAAAACGAGCTGTTGCGAGTAAGTGACTGGTTAATATGGTTGCAGCACGAGGCCAATCCTATTAGGAATAAAGCAGTTTTAAGTGTTATGCAAAGTCGGTGCGCTGCATCTGTTGGCTCTGGCTATAGGCCTAATAGCAGCGGATTTCCCTCTGAAAGCCCGTCGCGTTCACATGGCCACGCAGTGCCCGCACAAGGTGCATTACAACACAATTAGACCGACGATACTGATGTTGGTCTGAGAAACGGTCAGAACGGAAATATTGTGGTCCTCCAACACAAGTGTAGAAATGAGGCATGCTGTTGTTTATATTGTGGAGATTAGGTAAACTAGCCTGTTTAGTTTCATGGCAGATGGTTGATACTCAAGCCAATTTCCAATGGTGCCTCCAGTGCTCAGACACCAGCTTTGTCATCAGTCCACTTGTAAGAAATATTTTTGATAATTAGACAATTAGATAGGCCTATGCCAATAAAGCAAATCAGGAGCAGCAATAAACAAAGAAGGTTGCATGACAAGCCATTTATCTTGAAGTCATTTGGACTGACCACCTCATTAGGTATTTAAGTTTTGAAGGATTTATTTCACTTCTGTGGCACCAGTAAACTTTGTATTATACCTAACTGCTTGGGCTGAATTTGACGAAAGCAGAAGAGGTTTTTTTTCTCTCTCTCTTGTTTGCTTTAGCTCTGTCTGAGCTGAGAGTGGCTCAAGGCTGAGCACTGCATGTTATGGAAACATACACGCTTTAGTTTATAGTTATATTTGTATAAATAAAAATGCCTTATTTGTGTTCAGTGTGTGAGAGCATGTGTGCACCTGGTGAGGCTTTAGTGGAAATAATATTTGCACAAAGTGAAACTATTGAAAGTGAAAACAGTGCCGTCATGATCCACAAGCCTTCTAGTAAATAGTTAACTTCTTCAGCATAATTTCCATGTTTAATTGGAAGGAGTCCAGCTTTTCATGCCCAAAATGTGTTTTGGATATTGCAAACAATGCACAAAAATGCACATGGATGCAAAACTGTGCCGCTGAATGGAAAGCAATTGTTGTCCTAGTTGTCTTGATTTATTTATTTTATTTATTCATTTGTTTTTGGGTCTATATTTTATTATTCATCTCTGTCCTCGCTTCTCATTGAGGAGAGGAAGGCAGTTTGATAGTTAGATATGCTAATTTATTTAGTTAGACTCTCTCACGTCCATTTTTCTTTGCTTTGATATGCATTTTTAATATATAGCCCTGGGCTACATCTCATTTGGTGAAAGTTGGTTTTCTGGAGATGATGAGGCTCTTCACTGTGAAGGAGGCGGCACGTTGAGCTTGTTTATATGTGTGTGTGCATCTGTGTGTGTGTTTCCTTCCTTTTTTGTTTTTCTTACGGTTTCCCTCTTCTCCCCTCTTCATACCTGACAGCAGAGCATAATAAGCACAGTTTTATTTACACTTGAATGCAGCATTGTCTTAGAGCTGAGAGTGGGATGAGGCCTTGCTGACACTGTTGATTTCCCTTATTTTCGCTTGCGGTGACTATCTCAACCATGTAGCCCACCCAAGGCTTCCTAACTCATCGCCCCTCCTCAGATCAACCCCATCCCAATTAAAAGAAAGGAAAAAAAAGATGTTGCATTACACATGAAGGGTGATGGGGAAGAAGGAAAAAAACACAGAGCGGTGTAGATTTGTAAACGGTTGATACAGTGTGTGTGCTTGTCAATGGTTTGCTCTCTTGTCTTTTAATTAATGAATACAATTTCTGTCTCTTCTGTGCTACATCCAATTAGAGAGGCAAATAGAATTAACACTGGCTGAATATTATCTGTTCTAATGAATTAGCCTTTGTGTCTTCCTGTGCTATTGTGCCGCTTCTCCAGTAAAGCTTGCATATTAGCAGAAGGCTTTTCATTTCCTCCATGCATATGCATTACGCTTCTGAAAGTGGCTTTGAATTTGTGCATAGTTTCAGATTTCTTACAGAGAAAGTGTGTAGGATTTGCAGGTCCCGGCGCTTTGTTTTGGAGAGCTTTTTCTCAGGGAGTGATAGTAGTTCCCATAGAGTTTATGGTGTAGCTTATCTTGCCCCTGCATGGCTGGAAAAGGAGAAGGGGGGGAAAAAGCTTTCTCTGTTTACATTTGATTTTCTGCTACAGGCTCTGAGCACAGTGGTCAGAAATGTTGATGTCACAGGTTCAGTCACGTAATAGCAATAGTTCATCTTGTGCCCATGCAGTGAGTTACTGTGTGTATCCACGGAGATGTGTGCCCAGTAATGTCCTGTTTCTGTATGTCTCTTTGCATGGTGCAGCGCATACACAGCCGTGGACAGAAAACCCTCGGGCCGAGCTGGCCTGCTCAACCGTGGAATTTCTCAGTTTTGGAGGTGTTCTAATTCAACTAGCTTTGTTCTCCTCGGGGACCGGCTACGTTTGGATCTCTCCCCCCTTCTCATGAAAACAGTGCAGCGTTGACTTGGACCGCTCTGTCTGTTCCACACAATTGTTTTGTGATGGTGGGATGTCTGGCCTTACATTTCCTTTTTGATTAGTGTTCAGAGGCAGGGCCCTGTTGGCAGGCATATCTAATCATCGCTACCGCGGCTGGAGAGAGAGGCTAAGCTCACTTGTTGCATCTCCCACACTCCCTTTCCTCTGACTGCATGCATGCTGTAAACGACCGCAATGAAAACAGTTGCCGGGCAGTCGTTTTACAGTCATGACATGTATGTTTATTTATATTGAAATGCGATATACAGATATTGTTACATATACTCAGTATCCCACAGCTCTATCAATAATTCTGACTCTAATAAGATAATAATCTTCACATTTTGTTTATGTTTATTCAGTTGTGTAAATTCACTTATATGTTTATTATTGAAGTCATAGTTACAGATGCTGTATTGGAAAGTAATGATTTCTCCACAAATAATTGCAGTACAATTCAACTTTATTATTAAAACCTCAATTTAATTAAACCTCTCTGACATTGTCAACAACATAAAGTTAATTACAGGCATCATACATATAGACTTTATGGTTATATTTTATTGTATATTCTATTGCACTAGTTAGTACAGGTGGACATAGTAAAGTAGCTGGTGAATGATTTACCCTTATTTTAGAAAAGGAATAACTGAAAGTTGAATGGATGTGTTTTGTATTTATGCTATTTCCTACTTTTGAATTGTCATTTGGGTGTGTGTTATAAATACATATTTGCACATGTCATGTGCCATCCACTACCGTGAAGAAGGTTGTTTTTGCCTCAGAGCAAGTTTTGAAGCATGAATACAATCACTTAATCCCTGGTGTCTGTTAAAACACGCTCCGGTGAATTATTAGCTTCTAAATGAAGGACTCTTTATATTCTGGATAATTGGGGGTGTTGTAAATACTCAGTTGTTTAGAAGAGGTGCACCTACACATTTTCTAAAGAGGCTGTGTATAATTACGAGCTCAACTCAACAGAAAAGTAGCTTTTCTCTGTTTAGGCTATGTAGCAAGATGTGTCTTGAAATGTCAGCTGGAGTTATGATTTACGCTCCTGTGTGTTTCTGGTGAGTCAGCAATTCTGTACATGTTCAGCACAGTGCAACACACACACACACACACACACACACACACACACACACACACACACACACACACACACACACACACACACACACACACCACACACACACACACACACACACACACACACACACACACACACACACACACACACACACACACACACACACACACACACACACACACACACAAACCCGTACGGCTAGTCGTTTCTCAGCCCACACCAACAGATTTCTTCTCTTTTCCTCCGGGTTCCAGGGGAATTTGAGGGAAATTCAATGATGCCGCTAAATCAATTTTATTTGAAATTCCTAGGGATGTAGGCAGAGTGCAGAGAGGGAAGTGAGATTGTGCCATGCAGGTGTTTGTAAATGAGAAACAGGGGACAGGAGCAGAGGAGACGACAGCATTCTCCGGCTCTCCTGTGGCCTGGCTCCACTACAAGCCTTCCTCCCCATATTGTCTCCTGCCTTTTATATTAATTACAACTTGTATTATCAGCTGCCAGTTGCTAACCCCAGCAAATAGAAAAGGCTGCCCCCCTAGAGACCACGCTTCTTTTGTATCTTTTCTCTATCTAGTCCTATTGTGTGAGTGTGTGTGCGTTCCCGTCTGCACATGTATGTGCTTTTGCTTGCTGCCGCCCCCCCCCCCCCCCCCCCTCCCCCTCCTCCTCCTCCTCCTCCTCCTCCTCCTCCCTCCTCCTCCTCCTCCTCCTCCTCCTCCTGGTAACACTGCTCTTTAACACAATTAGTGAAGAGCATGGAGTGAACCATGTTTGACTCCTAATTATGCCCAGCTTTAGGGAATAGTCACATGGGCTAGAGGCCTTATTTTCTCTTTTGCTTCTTCCTCTATTTTTCTTCATCTCCTTGTGTATGTTGAAGAAGACTGTTTGGGTGACATGATTTTTTTTCTCCCAACTTGTTTGAACTTTATCAGACCCACGAGGGTTGTGACAAAATGGTTGTGTGTGTTTGCGCTGTGCGGCGTCTGTTGATGCAGCCTCCATAGCTCAGAGAGGCCCACTAAATTATTCATGGGGAGGAAAGGCTGTTGCTTTTGTTGCCTTGTTGAGCGTGGAAAGTTAACGCTTTGGTTGTGATATTTTGTTGTCTTGTTTTGCAGACAGCGTTATGAATGAGACATGACTCACAGGTATTAAACGAGGAGAGTGTTCTTCATTAAATATATCTGCTGCATATTCACTGGGCGTAGAGTGTACTGTATTATTATTATTAGGTCATATAAAGTGCTGCGCTCTGCTTTTTGCCCAATAAGAAACAAACCAACAAAGCAGTATCTATATCCCTGCATACAGGCCCATTAAACCCCCAGGGTAGCAAATCACAGCAAAATATCATTCCCTTTAACACCATTAGCTGTGGTGTCTTTGAATTTAATTTAGTGCCAGCACCATTAAAAATGACACATTACTCTGCAATGATAGCTAAATTAAGTCCTATCGATTCAGCTGTTGCATTAAAACTGTGCTGTGGCCATTGCTGGAAAGTGGTACAGAGAGAGAGAGAGAGAGAGAGTGAACAAGAGTGTGTGAGAGCAGCCAGCATAGTTTGTCAGGTCTGTCTCGCATCTTGCCGACAGTGGATGTCTCATTGTGAGGAAGTAGAACCCAGTCATTTTCTTCTCTTGGAACAACAACGGCCCAGCTCTGACTAAATACATTATACAGTCTGGGACTCTTACCTCCTTCCCTGTTTGTTCCACATGACATATAGAATTAGACTGTTTTCAGAGGGTTGGTGAGGTTTTCCCACATTAGTGATTGTACGCAGCATACTGTGTTGAGAATAACAGACAACAGACCTTGTTCCCATGAAGTATGCCATGTGGTGATCAGGCCACATCGAGCAGGGACATTTTCCCCTCCGTTCACTCTGGAGGGCTAAAACCCACGCACAGGCTTTTGTTCACCCTGTCTTCGTACCCCACTTCTGAGCAATTCTCCGAGCTCTTTATCTGATTGCCATCCGGTGAACAGCTGACGCTGAGAGGGCCTTGAGTGGAGCGGAGGGTCTGAAGGGCCTTGTGTGTTTCTGTCTGCTGTTTTCAGCTCCGAGCTGTTTGAGAAAACAGCCCTCCTTCCCTAATAAACTTAGCAGATAAAAGGGCCTGGCTCACAGGCATAGCAGCAGCATCAACAGCAGAACAAGCAGCAGCACATCAGGGCCGCACACCCAGGGGAGCTCGGCAGCCGTTTGTCTTATATCCTCTGTTTCCCTGCAAACCATCATAGTCTCCGGGCACTATCCTGTCTGTCCTCCACCAGTACAGCTCACTCTGACTGGGGCACCACAGCAGGCAGGCAGGCTCCTCTCTGGCGGGAGCTGAAGGAAAAGAAGTTCATCAGGAACTGAAGTTAGACAAAATGGTAAAAACGGTCTCTGTTTTGGAATACTCTGTGGCGTGTACATTTTCCTCCTGCTTTCTTATGTATGTATATGTGTTGCTGTGTGTTTGAGGGAGAGAGACAAAATACATAGCGGGAACCGAGAAGTGGGTTGAGGTTTGTGGGAAGCCTTGGTGCAGGCCTGTGTTTGTTTGGCTTGGGCTCGGCTCAAGGGGCCGCTTCTCCCGGGGCCCCAGACAACGTTGGGCTTACGTTCGCCAACATTTTGTCATCGTGCTCAGGTGACAGGTTGAATTGGGAAAGACTAGCTAGGGTTTTGTAAGCCGTATTAACTCTGTGTGAGAGGCTTTTCAGCGTGTATGGGATCGAGAATAGTAAATGACGTGATCCGTCTGTCCCTCTTTCGCCTGAATGGCAGAGGAAATTCCACCTCCAGCCTGCCTTCATGTGGCACTGATAAAGCCTTTCCTGTACAGTAGAAAATCCTGTTTCCCTGTGAGCACCGACAGGGCAGAGGGAATGACCAGGAAAGAGAGCAGAAGGAGAGAACCTGAGCTGAACGAAAAAAGAAAGCCGCCTTAAAAGCTATGAATTTGTTTATGGACATTTCTTTGAAGTTAGCCAGCAGAGATTTAACACTTTTTTCAGCATGTGTTTGTATATATAAAAGTGAGTGTGTGTGCATGTGTGTTTATACTTCTTGCTCTATTATGTCATTAGCATGTGTGCGTAAGTGTATTTCTGCAAGCCTCTGTGGGCGTGTGTGTATGTCGCTGTGGGCGTGGACACATATTTGGCAGATTAGCAGGAGAATCACTGTCATATCTTATTTTCATTTCTGACAGTGGTAATGATTAATGGCGGCTGTGGTGTGTTTGGACTTTTTACCTCTATATTTCTCACTTGACACGGAAGTCTCAATTGGTTATGGTATAAACGAACTCCACTGGGCTCTGCCATGTGTGTTTAGACAATTACTCACAAGTGCTCCACTTGCACCGTTCAAAATCAGACGCCACATTAACAGTGCTGCATTTTGCTCTCATGCATTAATGAAACACTTTGATTACAGTGTTTTGACTTATTGCCAGCTGTTTTAGTGCATTAGTTACTTTCTATTCATCTAAGATTTTAGTGGCATCGTTGATTGTCTGCTAGCAGGGAAATACGTGATGGGGCTCTTCGGCTTGGCAGGAGAATGTAAGCAGGCCAAGGACCTTCACAGTGCCTGTAGACTCTTACAGATGTCACTCACTTTTCCAGTATACTCATATGGTCTCTTTCTCTCTCTCTCTTTTTCTCCTCCCCTTCTCCCCCCTCCCTGCTCTCTCTGCTCCTGGTTTGCGGTTTGGATGGGGAATGTGGATGGATGCACGGATGGATGGATGGATCCCACGCTCGCTCTGCTCTTCTCAAACCTCAGAACCCAGCTTCCTGGAGAGACCATGATGACGCCACCTCCACACACTCCGCCGGCACACCGGGGCCCTCCAGCGGGGGACACGCTTCACAGAGCGGTGACAACAGCAGCGAACAAGGTGAGCCAGCACAGAAATGGGCATGCACACACACACACACACACACATTTACACATGCCCTTGTGCACTGAAGCGCGGAGACATAAACATACATAGATGCAGGAGCAGGTCCATGCAGGACATATTAATCATCATGCATGAGTAGAGTTGCCAACACTTCCCTTCAACCCTTTTTAATGTGAGATCTACACTGAATAGATGGCACATCTCTCTATACATATACGTCCAAGTCCCTTCTTTTGCACACTGGATTATCCTGTTTTTTGAATGGCGTCCATGTAAACACATAGTCACACCTAAAAATGAACCTGCTTATCACACTCGCTCTCAAAAGCAAGCAACAGCGACTGTCATACACCAGCCTAGTAAAGGGCTTTCCAGAATGTTGCTATTTAGAGAGCCTAACAAAAGCTGGTGATTAATACTATGTTTCTGCCAGTTCTTGATTGCATTTAAAGCATATCAAGTTTGCTCACACAACAGCCACTCATAATGTCTTAGTGAGCCTTCTGTTATCTAGTACACGACCTGCCAACTGTAATAATGCATTTCAAAACAAATGTATTTGAATTTTTTACAGATAGCTTGTGCAAGTCTCAGCTATCTGCCTTGTATTTTTGTCACGGTCCATATCAAATTTGACATGTAAACGAACAGAAGCATATGCTGTTAGTTAAATTCAGAGGCGAGGACAAGCATCAAAACATTGTGAGGTTACATGTTTATTAAATGCAACTGCTGCCTGAACTAAGACAACAGATGATAAGCTCTTGGCCTTTCCTTTCTTGCCTTCCCCTTGTTTTGAATGCAGCAAGATCTCATTTCAATGGCGGAAGATTATGTGTGTGTGTCTGTATCCGTGTGTACCCTCTGGCAGTGTCCACGGTTTTGCATGAAATTTCATCACGCTGTCTACACACACAAACAGGCTCAAACACTCAGACACACACTTATAACAGCTCGCTCACAGACTGAGGCCGCTTGTCTTGTCCCATTCAAGACTATCGTTTTGCCGATAAGCGATCAAACGTATCGATGGGATGTTTGTCTGTGGTGGGGCCATTTAAATCATTTTCTCCTCTTCAGAAAGAAGCAGCAGTTGAACCATTACTGACCACAGACCAGGGGCCACAGCAGATCTCTGTGGTTGGCTGTGTCAGGACTAGTTGGATCACAGGCTAGTTGATGATAGCTAGGCCTTGGCTAAGCAACAGGATAGGTCTATTTGACAATATAAGCGTAATGGAGAAATGAGGTACAATAAAATTACACTAATAAGAATAGGGATAAACCACCATGTTCTTTGCCGCTCCATAGTGGGCCAATAAAAGGAAAAGAAACAAAAAGAGAAGAAAAAGAGAAGAAATAAAGTGTTGGATATCTGGTAGTAATAATATTATGTAAAAACACTGCATAATTGCAGGTCAGAAGAAACAGCATGAGTGGAGTTTTTGCACTCATCTGTGCAATTACAAGTAGCATGGGAGATGAAGGCAGCAGGAACAACAGAGTGAGGAAGGGGGGGCGGGGGGCACGAGAGAAAGAAATGCACTGCCTATTGATTATCTTACACACATAAGTACAAGTGACCTGTAATCCACAGAGCACTTATCGACTCCTCTCCCCACCGTATCCAGTAACAGCGGATCAATATGGGCCAAAGACAGTTACGGTACAGCAACGCGCATCGGGCCAAGATAGGCCTGGACTAGATCAGGGCCAGAGCCTGACCCACACTTAAGAGGGCTAAATGTTTCGTGAAAAAAAACACAAAGCAAGCATCACAGAATAAACGCAGAGATTTAAAACAAGGCGAAGCAAGAGACATTGAAGTACAGAGGTGAAAAGAGTATAGAAGGTGAAAAAGTATGCAGAGCGAGAAAAAGCAGAAGCAGAAAAAGAGAGAGGGCAGCTGATTTAATGGTCTAATGAGGCCGTCCTCCAGCCAGTTGTTTTGTGTGAGGCATGCTCTGACCTTTCGCTCCGCTCGGGAGCCCCGCCGCCTCATTTTTCACATTCTTGCAATTACGTTAACGCTTGAAGCGCTCGCTGACTCCCGACTCTGGCCCTTCCATTCTGACAAGAGCCTTCCCTCCCCAACCTCTCCACCTTTTCCCCCTTCTCTCCTCCACTCCACTCCACGCATGAACTCTCCTCCTTTCTCAATACATTTCCACATAAAATGTGTAGTCCACACTCTCAAGTCCACAGAGAAAATGTGAAATGTGTGCTTCACTTCAGTAATGGGGTCTTTAACAGCTTGGCCCCTGTTAAAAGGGGTGACGATGTGGATCAGTTGAGGAAGACAGGATAGATGGGAGCGGGAGGAGACTAAGAAAGAGTGCGTGAGACCCTCAGTGCTTTTTGGTTTTAACTGCCAAGGCAAACATTAACTCCCCTTCTCATCTTCCATCTTTAAAAGGTGTTGGGGGTGAAAAAAAACTCAAATTATGCCAGAAGCATCAGTGTGTTGATTATATGAATGCACTCCATTTTCCCAAAGAATGGTAAAGCAGTCAATTGCAAAAGAGTAAAAGGTTTTAACTTTCCCTTTTCATTTGGCTGCTCTTAGGGGACGTACAGAAGTATAAATATCAGTATCACTCGCATACCTTTTAGTACTGTACATACAGGACTCAGGGTGGTTGCTATGAGCAGAATTCACTTCCACAAATCTTCGGCTTGTATCTCAGCATTGAGCATTGCTCTGAACCTCTGCCAAAAAACAATTTAACAAGTGCACAAATATGTATCGCCCCTCTTGTGGAATAATTTATTGTCAAGCAGTAAACCAAGGTGAAGCATGCTCATAGCTGTGAGTAAAGATTGCCAGTTAAAGTTCTGACACATATGAAAAAGGTTTGGTTCAGTACTAAGATCTGTAACCTCTCCCCAACCCCCGCTCTTAACATACTTTTTTTTGGGTGCTTTTTCTCAGAATTTCCCTCCTAAAAAAGAAAATATTAATTATCACCCTCAGGGCAAATTCTGCACTCTCACTTACTGACTCTTAGAGAGTGACTCCCTATGTTCTAGCTAGATAAACACATTTCAGCGTTTACGGGAGATGGTTCAGAAGGTAACACACAATAACTTAATTGGCTCTGCTCGCACTTCATTTTGATTAACAGTCCTTTGGAGCTCCTCCAAGCTAGTTTATCTAGAAACATCAGAGACATCAGTTGCAGGGAGTTAAACTTGACAAATGTGCATGCCTTAAGATAGCAGTCATTTCCAAGCAGGTGTCCGTAATATGTTAAACATACAAAGTGTGATGGAGCGGCATGATGAAATACTCTGCACGTTTGCCCACACCAAACACAGTAGAGTCAAAAGCACTCAGTCATGAATTGTAAATCCCCAACTCTGATTCAGCATGGTAGGTAACGTTTCCCCCCTCTTGCTGTATGTGTATACGTGTGTGTCTGAGTGTGTGTGCGTGCGTGCGGGCCTCAGCTCCAGTCCACACTTGTAATTATTAGCTATGCATGAAGACCAAAATCCACGTTGACATGTTCAGTGGTGAGCAAAGGGGCTTTCTGTATGATTCTACTGTAAATGGGAAAGGCTCAGCAGAAGAGAGGAGAAAGCATTTTGTACATTTTCTCAGCAATTGAACAATCCCCACGCTCTGCGGATAGACGGACTCCCCAGGGAGACTGAGAGAGGCTGAGATGGAGAGAAAGGGAGGAAGAGAGGGATAGCTTGAGTGTTCGGCTCCAAGGGAGCATGCTGCGCTTGATGGTATTGTGGTACATGTGTGTGTATGCATGGGGAGTGTGGTGAGCTCCCCTGGCCCTGACCAGGGGCCCCACTCAGCAAGGTCTTTGTGGTTGAGCTCACCAGAGGGGGGTCATTCCTGGTGGGGACACGACTCCCGGGTCAGCCCAGAGAGCGCCAACATGAACAAGGCCTGTTGAATCTGGCGTTTTACAGACCTTTGGCTTTTCTTACAGCAACACTAAGGGCTAAAGAAGACCCAAACTTAGTGAGGAACATTTATAAAGGAAATGCAATCACATCAGAAAGATCAGCAGAGTCTGTGCTAAACACACGATGGAAGCCTTGATGCATTTTAGTAGCCTATACTCCATCTCTGGAGTGATCAGTGAGGTGTGTCTGTGTATAGAAAGTATATAGTGTGAGTGTGTGGGTGAGTTTCTGTGCATGTGCGTGTGTTAGCTGGTTCCCTCTAAGTGCCTGTTAGAGTTTAATTTAGTGTAGTAATTAAAGCTGAACACTGGCCCATAAACAACAGATAAACAATAAAGCAGACCCAAGCCCTGCTGTTTCATGGCTCTCACTCCCAGCTGTTGGAGCACTGATAATTGTTACACAGTGCCCCCACCTCGCCACAAAACAATGCTGAAGCAACAAGGGTGTGTATGCATTGTAAATGTGTGCATGGGTATATTTTAGTGTGTGATGGCAGAGGCCGAACAAAAAAAGGCCAGAAAAACACATAAACACACAGGATATGTCCACTTCCCCTCTCACACATGCCCTCAGCAGAATGTAAGTGGAGCAGTTTGCCACCATAGCCCTTTACAAAACCAGCTCAATGTCAACAGCAATCTCATAAACATTACAACAAGTGCAGCCAACTATTCAAACTATAACTTGCTATATCTCTGCCAGTGTCAGCAAGTAAACTGCATTTCAACAGAAAACAAGCTCAAAATATACCTGCCTAATGAGGTTAACAGGCTACCTCATGCAATTTTAGCCTTGTCACTACATGTCAGCTCCATGTTAGTCAGGTGTCTGTTGTGAAAACAGTGCAGTGTGTCTGTCTGATGGTTTGTTGGGAAGGGGCAGGGCCATTGTTGAAAGCTGAGAAGTGTTGCAGTGGAGGGGGAGAAAACACGGTACGGAGGGGATACTTTCATGATCCCATTAGCATAAGAGAGGCTAAATTATTCATGTGGAGTGCTTAATCTATGGGGAAAAGTATAGTTAATGCACATAGTTTTAAAATGGATCTCTCCCTGCTTCTGCTC